AGGTAGGATAAATGAGTCCTCGTAGAGTACGGCAGCTCGCTCCGACCTAACCGGTGGGGGACGGATTTTAGAGAGAGTAGGCGGTTCGACTCCACCCGAGGACATGTTGCTGTAACGTCGAATTTTTTCCGAGGCCGACACGTTCTTCATTCATTAAAGAAATAACTCTAATATAAGAGGTCGTGGATAGTGAAATAAATCCTCGTAGAGCACGGAAGTTCGCTCCTACCTAATAATCGGGTAAATAGCATTCAGGGAGAACCGGCGGTTCGAATCCGCCCGAGGACGTGATACATCGTTGTCCTTCTTTTTAGCCGCAGGAGGAAGCTTCTCCACAATCAGCCGGATGGTTCGACTCCGCCCGAGGACATACTAATGTTGGTCTAACATTTTTGGCCACGGCGAGGGCCTAATTCATTGGTGTTTGTGCGCATGAGAAATGAGTCAGATATGTACATCATTGTCCTTCCTTTTAGCTGTAGGCTCGTTCTTCAATTCGCATACTAATCAAAGTTGGCAGGTAGGCTAAATGAGTCCTCGTGCAGTACGGCAACTCGCTCCCGCCCAGTGAGCTACCATGTCATATGTAAGGGAGAGAAGGTGGTTCGACTCCACCCGAGGACACTATGGGACTTCCCAACGGATTTTTCCCGCCCCCGAGCCGTTTTTAACTCGCATACTTATCAGAGTTCGCAAACAAGGGGAGGAAGTCCTCTTGCTCCCACCCACTATGCCGATTCGAAAAATTAAGAGAGAGACAGTGGCTCGAATCCACCAGGGACATCAGGGTCGAAAATATCCTTTTTCTTCTAGGCCAACACACTTAGTTAGTTTTTTACCTGCTTCATTGAGGGTGTGGCTCACTGGTTGAGAATTTCGAATTTTTCAGTGAAAAAATTGGTGAAAAATGTCATTTATTTTTCAGACATTTTTCACTGAAAAAGGATGTGAAAAATTTAAAACATTTTTAGAACTTTCTTATTTTATTTGGAATTTTTCACCTTGAATCAAGAAAGTGCTGAAAAAGTTGTAAAAATTTCACTTTCTTCTTCAGTAAAAAATGTCTGAAAAATTAACAACATTTTTCACCAATTCTTTCACTGAAATATTTGAAATTCTCAACCAGTGGCTTCAGAAGGAATGTGGGGAGAGACGGCGGTTCGAATCCGCCCGAGGATATGTCCTGAAATTGATTTTTTTTTTCCCTTGGCCGACACATTCCTGTTTTTGCCTCATTCATTCATCGTTGTAGTATAAGAAATAACTCAGAGTTCGTAGCTGTGAAGAATAAGTCCTCGTAGAGTACGGCAGCTCGCTCCCACCCAATGCATTGCTTGTAAGGGATTTTAGGGAGAGTCGGGGGTTCGAATCCGCCCGAGGACATTAATCAGTGTTGTGCGGACCCATTTTTTTTTGGAGGTGGGATATCAGAAATTTTGAGTATCAAGAATAATCCCTCGTGGAGTAATGCAACTCACCACCTAGTTCGTAATCGTTGAACCAACCGAGAGTTCAGGGAAAGAATGTGATTCGAATCTACCCGAAGACATCAATCTCTGCAGCTCAAGTTTTCTCCCAAGTTCCTCCTTTTATTTCATTCATCTAGGCTTGAGGGATAAGAAATAAGCCAGGATTGGAGTTTATAAGTAGAGGAATCAGTCCTCGTGGAGCACGGTAGCTCGCTCCCGCCCAGTCGTTCTCCATACCTAGCACAATCATCCAGGGAGAGCAGGCGGTTCGAATCCGCCCGAGGACGTTCGAAAATCGGATGCAATTTTTTTTCACGCACCCTCGTGTTTTTTCCGCATGGTTTGAATACGCAGGGGTAGAACAAGGACTCGTGGAATCCTGAAGTGTGCTTCCCATCCAAACAGCACATGAATGCATTGATGAAGCGTAGGTGTGTAAAGCTATTGGCAGAGAGACGGCAGTTTGCCTTTACCCAAGAACAGTAGTTCGGGTCCGGCATCCATCCCAGTTATCAGAGTTCGCAGGTGAGAGGAACAAGTCCTCGTAGAGCACGGACGCTCGCTCCTGCCTAATCATATATGCATCTCTATTCCAGGAAGAGAAGGCGGTTCGACTCCGCCCGGGGACATGCGTATGAGTGAACTCCACTTTTTTTTTCGGGCGCGCATATGCGTGTTTGGCGAGGAGTAATCTCAGCGCTTTACGAAGTGCACTGCCAGCGCCTTACGACGCGCACTCCCAGCGCTTTACGCTCGGGAGCCCAGCGAAGGAGCGCATACGAAACTACCTGCACACAGCGAAAGTGGACGGAAGCTGGGCGCAGGGCACATCCGATCCTCCCGTCTTCGTAAAAATCACGGGAAACCCGCGCAGACGGCACGTAAAGACAGCGCGCAGGGAGGCAAAAAAAGCCCGGCCGCGCGCAGACAGTACAGAAAGCACAGGAGTTTCCGCAGACGACGCATAAAGAGCGCAGATCGCACCAGACGGGACGATGAATATAGGAGCGGGCAACAGGAACGATGGATAACAACGGGAACGGGCGCAGGCGCACGCGCGCCCATAAAAGACTGCGCGCAACGCCCACAGTACGCGGGAACGCACCATAGACGCAGACAGCGCGCAGGACCGTGCCACGAGCCACAGAAAGGGCGCAGGACGACGATGCAGGGAGGCGCCACGAACGAGGAGAGGAGCGGGATACGCAGGAATGTGAGCGGTCGTACCGAGACGGCGTATGCACTCGGGTCGAGGACCAGCCATTCGCAGCGGGGCGCAAGAAGATCCACGTACGCACGGAGGAGGGATGGGATGGGCAGGGCAAGGAGGGCGCACAGACGCAGGCGGCGGACGAGCGGGCGGGGTGCAGCAAGACACTCACATCACGCACATTAAGACCATCGTATTCATTCTCGCATCGGGATACACACGCTCTTCCCTTCTTTCTACGAATTCGCTCCATACGCGGACGGGTACACTCAGCACTAGTGCGGGTGGTTCTTGTGGTGTTCTATAGAAAGCCATCAGCGGGCGCAGTAGGATGGAAAAACAGAGGGGAGACGTACTCAGGTGCACTACATCGCGCAAACGACGCAAGGTAAGGGAAACGAAGCAAGGTACATAAGCGAAGGCGCGACAACGGAGAGAGATGAGAAACGCACGCTGATAATCCATCGTATACCCTACGAGGAACAACCCCCCAATGAGCGCGAGCACAGGCGCCGCGCTCGCGTTCTTCCCGCTGAAGAAGCGCTCCTTGATGCCGCGTACGGCGGGCACGGGCGCGCGGCCCTTAGGGAGCTTGGAGTAGAAGGCGACCAGCGGGGAGAGGGGGCCGGAGGCGTCGCCGGACTGCGGTGTGCATCGTATCATCAGTACGGTCTCGGAGTGGAAGTCCAAAGGGAAGGGGACGTGGGTTAGGGCCAGAGACGTGGAGAGGACGTGGAAGTGGATGGCAGGGAGGAAGGGAGAGGAGGACGCACGACGAGCTTTGGGGTTGCGATTTTGGGCGGGACGAGGCCGCCGAGGGACCGTCGGACGAGCGAGCCGTGCATTTCGGTTGTGGGAGGAAGAGGAAAAGTATGTGCGGGTGTTTGGCAGCACCGTCTGGGTGATCCGGGTTGATCCGGGTCATGTGCTGGAGTTCACATTGGCACAACATTGGCATCGCAAAAAACGCAACGGCATCGGAAGGGCAGCAACGAACTTCGAAGGGTATGCGTGCGGGTGTGGCCCCACCTCTATTCATGTTTCCCATTGTACCGAACATAGGGCAAATTCAACGGTGGAGTCGAATCACCTTCTCGCCCTCAATTCTCGCCCTCCATTCTCGTTAGCTGAAACTGGATTGCGTGCTTCCGTATTCCACGAGATTTATTACATATATATATATATATATACCTGAAAGCTGCAAAGAATGAGGGAAACCTACAAAAAAAAGCTGTTGACTGACGACTATGTCCCCGAGTGGATTCGAACCACCGTCTTTCCCTTAGCTTTGTAACATCCAATGAACAGTGCGGGAGCGAGATGCATTACTCCACAAGGACTTATTCCTTAGACCCACAAACCTCAATATACCTGCGAGCTTCAACGAATGAACCAAGACGGAACCTCGGGGCCAAAAAACACGTTGGAAATAGTGTCCTCCGAACCACCGCTTCTCCCTGAACCTCTTTCATCGCCTACCCAGGGGCAACGAGCTTTCTCCATGAAGACTCAGTTCGTCTCCTCGCGACATCTGATAACTGGTATGCAAACGGGGGTCGGTTGGAAAAAAAATACTCGGACGCCGACGATAATGTCCTCGGGTGGACTCGAACCACCTCCTCTCCCGGTACAAGACGTTCCACCGCATACTGTGCGGGAATGAGCTGCATTACTCCACGAGGTCTTATTTTTTTCCCTCCCGAACTCTGATATGTGCATGCGAGCTCAAAAAAAAAACCCCCTCTGTGGGACGTAAAAAGTCCACCCTCTTGAATCATGTCCTCGGGTGGATTCGAACCACCTCCTCTCCCTAGAATTCACCTATTTAGGGATAATTGGGCGGGAGCGAGCTTCCATGCTCTACGAGGACTTATTTCTCTACTCACATACCCCCAATACCTGACTTGAAAACGGTTCTCCCTTTGGAAAAAAGGGAATTATACAAACGGCCATGTCCATGTCCCCGAGTGGATTCGAACCACTGACTCTCCTTAACATTCAGGTCTTCTGGCCATTAGACAGGAGCGAGCTTCCGTACTCCACGAGGACTTATTCCTTACACCCAAGCACCTCAATATACTTGCGAGCTTCAGCGAATGACCCAAAAATGGAGCATGCGTGGCGTAGGAAAAAAAGATCAGATCAGGGACATGTCCTCGGGTGGATTCGAACCGCCTTTCTCCCTCGATTATTCTTCAAAAGCCTTACTGAGCGGGAGCGAGCGTCCATGCTCCACGGGGACTTATGTTTCATACCCACGGATGAGGAATAGAAAACAAAACAGGAGCCCGCAGCCAAACAGACGAAATAATGCAAGGTAATGTCCCCGGGTGGACTCGAACCACCTTCTCTCCCTGTATTCTTCCTAATCCGGGTACCGTGCGGGAGCGAGCGTCCACGCTCCACGAGGACTTGATTCTATGCCCTACAAAACCGGACAGCTGAATTATTTCTTATACCCGCAATCAATGAGTCAGGCCAAAACAAGGATTCTACACACCACTTCGCCTTTACCGATTGGAATAACCAGCCCTCCCTGTCCATGTCCATTTCCACACCCCCACTGGTGCAGGACTCCTGGGAATTTTGACCAAAAAGGTCAGATGCAGAAGATTGAATGTCCTGGGGTGGACTCGAACCACCACCTCTCCCTATACCAAATCGGGCCTTTAGTGTGCGGGAGCGAGCTGCAGTACTCCACGAGGACTTATTTCTATTCCTCCAAACTTCAATACCTGAGTTATTTCTTGCATAGCGAGCGTCCATGCTCTACGAGGACTTATTTCTTGAGCCCCCTAGCTTAGAGAAATTAGGCGGGAACACGAATAAGTCTGCAAGCGAAATGAATCCTTCGAATTTCGAATCACCTGCCCTCCTCAAAAAAAGACAGATATACAATATCCATGTCCCCGGGTGGATTCGAACCACCAGCTCTCCCCGAAACCCTGTTTTTCATTCTCATTAGATGGGAGCGAGCTTCCGTACTCCACGAGGACTCAAGTCGTGTATCCTAGCGACCTAGTAAAACGGGACTCGGTTGCGAAATTTTGATGGTAATGCGTGCGGACTCCAACAACCTTCTCTCCGTGAATTTCTTCCAACAACTATTTTGAGGAACTAAGCGTCTATGGACCAAGAAGACTTGTTCCAAACACCCACAAGCTTCAGCGACCACGTCCTCGGGTGGACTCGAACCACCGGCTCCTTTGAGCTTCTTTTTCTCAAGATATTGGGCGGGAGCGAGTTGCCGTATTCCACGAGAACTTGATGTGGCTACCCACTAGCTTCGAGAAATCAGGCAGTTTTCGAGGCCGCGGATCGGGCAGTCCTACGCTTGAGGTGGGCGATGAACAGCTTAAGCTGAGAAAGAGGAAGTTGCTTAGGGAGGTGAAGGAACATTTGCAGAAAAAGCGAAATACTATGACACTAGTCCGCAAATAAAAGGTCCGCGGGGCAGTGACGACGGCTTGGCTCTCGTGCGAGGCAGGGAAGTCTTTCCGTCGGGCGCGGGGGACACAGGAAGTCTGCCCGTCCCCGTCAGCTCCTTACCGAGTGCATCCAAAAGTTGCTGTACGAACACCATCAATGACCACGGTTAGAAGATGGTCGTGAAGAAAAGATGCGACCCAATGGATCAGCTGTCGGGGGTATCCGAGGGCCGCTAACTCGCGTACGACGACTCGGTGGGAAACACGGTTGAAGGCACCTTTGAGGTCGTAGAAAAGGGTCGAAACCGTGTTGCCTTGGTCGAGCTGAGTTTTGACTCGATGGATGTATCCGTCCACAGCTTGGACGGTGCTGTGCCCTGGACGGCCTCCATACTGTGCGTCAGCGATGAGCCCAAGTGATTCGGCCTCGAAGGATATCTGGTCAGCGATCAAGCATTCTAGAGGTTTCGCGAGAATATGCTCATAATTCTCCATAGGGCGCTAGGCCTTCGGTGAGGTCTTGCCCTTCTTCCCCTGCTTGTGAACTGGAGTTGCGACGTTAGACTTGAAGGGAGTGGGTTCGATTCCAAGAAGGAGCGAGACTCTAAATATTGCGCGAACCCAGTCACCAATCACCGGATACGCTCGTTGCACGAAACCCATCTGGATGCCGTAGCGATCCGGAGCCTTCCATGGGGATGAGGACTTGATAACCGCGTCGATTATGCAAAGAGCTGTAGAATCAGATACTATTCAATCTATTCACGAACATCTCATTGCACTCCTCACCATCACCCATTACAAATCCAAACCTTTGCAAATCCAATATAGCGGTGTATCCCCACAACTTTAGAGGCCGGTATTTATTGTACTATTACGACCAACCTTCCTCGCTATCATCCCCTGTATATCCGAGTACAGTTTATCTTCACCTGCCTGTCCCACTACCTGCCCTTCCATGTAACAGGCGCACTCTGGCGCGTCTTGTCGCGTTCCCTCTCCGTGGCAATGCCTTATACTACTACTGTAGTCATAGTATATGATATATTTTCCCGCTTATCATACTTAGTCAATATTATGCTCTTTCATGACGTTGTCACCAAGGACTAAGATACCTTTGATTTTCTGAGCGTTCATACATTTGCTTTCCACTCGCTGCGAGCAGGTGCATTTATTTACCATTCTATGGAGTTGAACAATGGCGCCAGTCCGGAGGTCACATAAGGCGATTACTAAAGAGTGGCGTTGATGGCCGACGGTTTGCCGTCGGCGCCCTTCTTCCACTCACACCACTATGGACTTGGACGAAAACTTGGATTTGGGCTCGGAGGAGGTTCTGTCCAAGCTCAACGAGGAGCTTGAGCCTGTGTTTCGCCTCACTGTCATCCTCTCCGGTGGCTGCCCCGGCGGACGACCTCCCTGGGCAAAGGATCATACCGAGCCACTCAACCTATGGATCCAAAAGGTTTGTTCCATGTCAACCGCCGAATGCCAACAGCTTGCAAATGCTGGTGATCCGGAAATGATACACGACTTTGCTCTGCGGTATTACAGCCCATTGCACCCCTCATGCCTTGCTGATTTGCATCTCCCACAGCGCAGCCGCGGGGATTGAATTGCCCAGTCCTAACAGCCTCCTTGCGGAACGATATTGGAACCTGCTTCTGCATAATCCGAAATCTACGCAGTATCATCTCGGGATCGCTCACGCTCAGTTAATTCTCTTCACCGGCGTCGTCACCGAGGAGGGTTATGCCGGGCCCAGCTCCCGCATGGACGACTTCATGCGAGCCGGAATACACGCCGAAGTGGCCGCACGAGCAGGACATGGCAGAGCCCCCAATGTGCTCAAGTTGGGAAAGATCTTTCAAGCCTACCGCTACGGCGAGCATAAGGCGGTATTCGGTCAGTGGAGGTGTTTTTGGGCCGCCGTGGATGGATGGGTAGCGGAGAAACAAGCGGCACTGGACAAGGATTCAGCAAAAAGAGTTGAACGGTCCTCTCGCTACAAGTGCGCTGCACCGGAGTGCCCACTAGAAGCGTCAACAGGGAAGCTGCTTCGTGCTTGTGGGTTCTCCGTCTTCGCTCATCTCATCCTCAATTAACGCGACTAACACTGCGATTCGGTACCCAGGTGGTGGAAAATGCGAGGACGCTTACAAGCCTCGGTATTGTACGAAGGAATGTCAGGTGGCGGTGAGGCACTTCTCCAAAAACTCGTTGCCCTTCTTGAACCCTGAGCAGGATTGGAAATACCATAAATCGCTCTGCAAACCCGGCTTGCAGGCCGCTACCACAGAACCCAGCCGATCGACTCCCTTCGCCATGGATCCTTCCATCCTGGTTCAACGCCAGGATGTTGCTATTGGTGGGGGTCAAGGGATAGTAGTGACTCCGAGGAATCCGACAGCGAAGAGCGGTGGTAGGCAATATTCGATGAATATCGGTGGTGTCAAGCTCCATTCTGAGAACGAGGCCCTGTCGGCCCAACAACTCAAAGACTTGGCGGAGGCGATGAAGTCCGGATCGAATAAGGGAGAGGGCAAGGGAAAGTAAAGGGCTTGCGGCTGTAGAAAGGAGAGCAGATCTGCGATGAAAGTCCATATCTTGGTATATGTGTATGCGGCGAGGATCATTGACAACTCTTTCATTGACAAGGCCGACTTTCCGACAACATTCCAATTCACGCTTGATATGGCTAATGTGGTAAGTCCCGTTACATACTTATCTTGTCCTGCCCCGCCTTCCCGTCCCTCTTTCGCCTCCCGCCCGTTTTCTTTTTCCATTTCACACATGTGGATAGTTTGAAAAACTTGTTGAATTTGCATGGGCTTTGTATCTGACTTACCAACTCGGTCTGTCTCCACTGTGCCGTGAACACCATCCACATGGTCCGCTGTGAGAAACGGGACTAGTTGGCCTTGTATTGTGAATTACAAGGCTGGTATACATAATGGCGACTTCATTTCTGTGCTAGATGTCTTCTAATATCATCCTACAACCCCTCTTATGTGTGGCGAGATTTTTTTTCGGCACACAGTGAGAATTGATTGGAGCTTCACGCAACAGCTATTGACTTCGGTGTTCCGAAATTTGTGTTAGATGAGTTGCAATACCACCCTCCTTGACCTCTGCTATGTGGCATGAAACTTTTTCGGCACATCTGACTTGGTGTCAGCAGCACTGTACAGAAAGAAACCTGCATAACTCCACAGGGACTTGATATATTCTGATGCTTTAAGTTGCTCTGAGATGAGGGAATATATCTGCAATTTATCACACAGTCAGTTGAGGCCACTGTGACCGTTCGTCGGTGTGCGCAAATCCACGGATTCCTTACGTGGAGTTCTGGATCGGTGTACCCGCTTGCGCGTTTGTACCCGTACTACCTCTCCAGTCCGTAACCGTCCCTCGGGGTCCTCCCGTTGTACTGCGTCAGTTGTGTGGCTAGTGTCGCCTCCCGGTGTCAAGCTTCCTCTGCAGGCCGTCCATCCTGTCAGTTTCCTCTACGTGTAGCGCGTTATCCTGGGACCAATATGCTGACAGATGAGAAAGCGTACTTCGAATTTTGTGAGATGGTTTATTGATCTTTCACCTTCGCACGTCGCTCGCCCCAACTCTTCTGGCCACTCTGTTGATTCTCCTTCGCGGGGCTATGGTAACATAATATACTAGGCGACCCTCTCGTTCTTCTGCCCCTGCTGGTCTCGCAGTCTTTCAACTATGGATATCCTCAAGAAATTTTGGCACAGATAACTGCAATGACACCTCTGCATTTGATTTACCTAACGGCACTGGTTGTCTGGCGGGGAATTGTACGGACTCTCATTGCCGCACATGTATCATTTGATTTCGCTCGGCTTGAAGCATTAGCAAGTAAACGCCAGTAGAATTCGTTTCGATGAAAGCCCGAGAAAAAAGTATCAACTCACGGTTGGCCGAGTGTTCCCAGGAAATTACCAAAAACGGGGGCTTCTCACTAGA